CACACACACACACACACACACACACACACACACACACACACACACACTAATAGATACGAATCACAAGTGGATGAAATAGAAAAGAAAGAATTCTTGAAGAATTCAAGGGATAAACAGTATAACACAGGGTCATTCTGTAGGTACGGTCTTCCTTTAAAGCTCGTGAAATTCACACATTCTGATCTGAGTTTTCCTTAAACTCTTCTTACCTACTCGCTAAATACTTGAGACAATCACAAGAGAGCTTTTTTTCCTGTAAAAGAGTGAGCAGACAAGAACTGTCTTTGATGTTTCTGTCTTCAGCTAGAGACCTCTTGAGAGCCAGATGTGAAGGCAGTGTTAATAGTCCCATCTCATGGGGCTGCAGCAGGGGCCGGCTTAGATATCGCTGTAGATACACCACTATATCACCAACCTATAAAACCGCAGATTAAAGGAATGTGTGCACATATATGACTTGAGTAGACTCATAAAAGTCGGGCTCCAAAACTATTGACACTTACTGTTCCCAAATCACTGCTTGCATCATGGGAGACCTTGACTGCTCACAGATGACCTCCAGATTAGACATCGCTTTCCAAAGCAGATACTGTAAATAGCAATTTATATGGAGACCCCACACACACAGTACACGAGTGCATACATTCACGCTAAGGATCTGGAGTATGAACTTGGCAGGCGCTAACACAAACAAACGACCGGCAGGACGTATGCTCACCATCATACTATCAGAGCGAGAGATGAGAGTTTGAAGTCAGAGGACCGTTATGTTTCTGAGAGAACGGTATCTTGCTTTCTGCACATAATGGAGGGCTTGGGACACACACTTGGGCATTTTCGCTGCGGAAAGAAAAGCATCTTTTGGTTTACAGTCTAATGTTTTAAACAGAAGCTTTGGAACATGTTCAGCCTTTAGAAGAGCTGTCCACTCGGTCTCATTAAATGCAAACAATAAGGTAAAGGTCCCCTGTGGAGTGTTAGACTTCTTGCAGTGCTATGATTTTATGAGTGGGTCTCTGTTTTTGTTGTTCTTGCGCATGTGCACGCGGACGAATATGCGCGCGTAATATCATGCTGGTGACCCAAAATACATTGACCCACAGGTGGCGGTAATGTGCCAAAAAACATGCCAATACACCAGAAGAGGCTTAAGAAGAAGACAGCCAGCAAGTAAGCAACGTGACCGCAGGTTTCAATATTTTTAGTAGCTCGGCTTTGCAAAAGTTTTATGAGGACAAAGGCCAGTCGGCAGGTGAAATAATTGGTTTTAACACACTCTCTAGTGGGTCGTGTGATGTTGCTGCTTATTTCACTACGGGTGAATAGTGTTGCATCTGTAGTGTTCTTACGTGTTGGATTTTATCCAATGTTATTTTATTTGTTTCATGCTTTTGCGATTATTTCATGGGTATGGTTATAACCGGTTTAGTTTAATGCATCATGTGTTTTATGAGTGAGGGGCTTTACTAGTTCTGTCTTTCTCTGTCTTTGTTTGAGCTCACTAAGATCAATCTTACATTTTTACAACTATATTTATTTACATACTTTCTGATAAGACTACAAACTTCACTACAGACTTTAAAGCCTAAACCCCATGTTTTTAAAACAGTATAACATGCATATCTTCTATAAATAGACCATCTTCTATCACAATTCATAGCCACATGCGCAGAGCCGGTACTGGGTCTGTCGAGTTACAAAGGCTAAAATAAACACAGAGGACTTGATCAGCTCATTTTTCTATTTCCAAGATACCTAATATGTTAAGTAAGCTTAACTTGCACAGTGACAAAGGATGTGGATATAATTTGTTACTTCAATGAATGTGGACTCATTTCACACAGGACTGTGTGATCACTAGAGTGGCTATCCATCACCAGGCACACACGCAATCCTGACGGGAAGGGTCGACCTTACAAATCATGAATGACACCCGGAACACTTGGACTAGACTGTGTGTGTGCGTGCACACGCACACACTCACTCATACACTCACGCACTCACTCACACACTCACTCACACACTCACTCACACACTCACTCACACACTCACAGGTGCTTCAATTGCTGGAAAGCCTTAATCTGTTCCAGAGACTTGTGGTTGAGTTGACCCTCGCCTGTCCATGTGTGTGTGGAGGACTAGCAGCACAGAGGGGGTAAGGGGTACTGGTGCTGCTGATAAACCATTTAGAACTCTGCAAAGCCCCCGTCGGCCCACTCCCCCCGTTTAGCAGCAAATGTGTCTTTTTCACCTCCCTGAACCCTTTTTTCTCTCTCAGACACCAAACGTCAACGTTTTTCCCCCGCTGCTGCACTTAAAATGATCTTTCCTTTAATGTGCCTCACACGGACTGTTGGGATGAGCCCTCTGTTCATCAGTGCAGCGGCATACAAGCCCCCAGCTCACACCGCCGGAGGCTGACAGCACAGGAGCTGACAGCACAGGAGCTGACTCACGTTTAGCCCTCCACACATGGACGAATCCCAGAGAGGCGGCGGTGCTAAGCTAGTGCTAGGCTACGCTGGTTAGCGTAGCTAATTGGGCTACTGTGTCACAGGGCTTCCGTGGTCTTAAGGAGCAGCGCAGAGACGAGAATAGTGGGAGGTAATCTCCTCTTAACACCGCGGCCTCCATCTGTGCGGGCCATCTGGACGCCACCTCGCAATACGCACACTAAAGTGGCCCCGCAGCAACACTGGAGACTGCACAGACAAGGCACGTCCACATGGCTCCGGCCAAGCGCTTGTTGAGTAATGCTTCAAAGAACTACTGTGACATCACAAGCGTCCATTTCTATACAGGGGGAGAATACCTCCAACACCCAAGACATCAGAAAGACCTGATCTCTCTTGAGCCCCTTTTCCTCCTTTCTCATGAACAAGGAACCTTTGAGTGTTCATGGTGTTTTGACCTCAGGGACCAGGGTCTAAATTAAGTTCAGGGGACATTTTACCCCCCAAAAAGGCTGTGGTAGTGGGGTAGCACTTTCTGAAAATACAGCAACATTCATGGTGGGGTTTGCAGGGATGACTGTCACTGATTGGTCAAACACAAACAGTGCTGCTGCTTCAACTCTTGAACCACTTCAGGACCATTTTAGGACAGCATTTCACTTTGTTTGATGACAGTCAAAGTAAAGTTAGGCTTTGCCGTCGGCTTCTTTACCAATTTTTTTAAAAAAAAGAGAAAAAGAGAGAACTCGTGCTGTGGATGAGAGAGAAAAAAGTACGTTCACGGAATTACTTACGAAAGCACAAATAAAGAACCATCAAACACTCGACAGATGATTTACTGTGGAGACACAGGCTCTTCATTTCCTTTTCCTCCTCATTACATTCAACATGCATTACTAAATACTATGCAGCAGCTTTCAGCAGTCTCCAGATCTCCAGACCGCTATAGAAACACACACAACAAGGCGGAAGGAATCTTCTAGGTTCCTCGAAAAGTAGTCCCGGGACTAAAATGACCAGGAAGTTCTTGGTGGAAATGCGGCTTTAGCTCACTGAACTGTGAAGAGACAATTGGCCCTGATCAATATTACACACACAAAGGCTGCAATCAATAGGAAAACACACACTGCAGCACACACACATACACACTCTAACAAAGTATTCTACAGTAGTAAGACCCCCCTCAACCGTCAGTCCCTCTCAAGACATCTCATTTCATTTGTTGTCCCTCCTCCTCTCTCCAGGATCACATCTGTCCCTCTACATACACTGTTGTCCCTCTTTACCAACCCCCCATCTCCACTCTCACACCATCAGAATCCCCCCATCTCACGCAGTGTCTCACACACACACACTCTCGGCAGACAGATGTGGTGCTCGGCAGCACAAAGCCATGCCGAGTTGGCCTATTGATACGTTTGTCCGGCCCCTCTGGGAGGCCACGCGGATCACTGACCACTGAATAAATTAACACACACACACACACACACACACACACACACACACACACACACACA